AAAGTGCTTCATAGTGGACTGCGGCAAGGATGCAGCCCTGGCCTTTTTGGGTGGTTTTAACCTTTCGAGGGAGAGATGGTCCAGGCAATATCCCATCTTCGACCCCTTCCTAAAGAGACAGTTGATTCATTTCGGTTCTGAACAGTCCTTCCACAACATGCACATGCGAGTGAGCGGGCCGGCCACTCTGCACCTTCTGCAGAGCTTCAAGGAAAGGTGGGACAAGGAGAGAGAGTGGCGCAACCCCGAAACGTCCACGTGCATTCGCAGTCGCTTCCGACGTTCAAGCCACGGGCAGGAGGAGGCGGTCAGGGTCACACAGGTGCTGAGGTCCATAGATGACAATTCAGCCAAGTTTGAGAACAGAGGTAGACCTGGCCTAGTGCAGGTTGGTGGGTCGTGGGTCGACACGAGCATTCAGAGCGGCGTCGTGGAAGTCATACGAAATGCACAAGAGTTCTTGTACATTGAGAGTCAGTACTTTGCGGGATCGTCTGTACACTGGGACTGTGAAACTTGGGATGTCGGTGACAGAATATTCAATATTATCGATAATGCCGTTAACACAGTCCCATACGAGATTATCAAAAGGATTATCCAGAAAATTCGTTTGAGGCAACAGTTCTGCGTATACGTGGTCATGTCCATGCTACCGGATATTGAATATGAAAACTTACTATATCTTATCATGGCTGATAGCACATACATCTGTAGTATGACCATACGGATGATGTACCATAAAATCGGCGAGGAATTACGGGCCGTCGGCTCATGCTTGCACCCGACCGACTACTTGGTCTTCTTGTGCATGGGGAAGCAGGAGCCGAAGCCGACGTACGTCCACTCCAAGATGGTCATCGCCGACGACTGCTACATCGTGGCGGGCTCGGCCAATTTAATCGATCGCAGCCTCGCGGGAAACCAGGACACCGAGATCGCCATCTTGGCTCAGCAGCTGACGACGTGTGACAACCAGGTGATGACGACGGCACTCCACAAACTGCCGCGCAAACTCTGGGCGAACAGGAGGTTTGTCCCGAGTTCGACCCGCTCGCAGGGCCGGACCCTCGAACGCCATTCGCAGCTCAAGGAACTCGCCAACGAAGGACTGCGCTAGTACAAGGAGGACGAGGCCCGGACAACGACCTCTTCGTCAGGCACCCTCTCGACGGGCCATGACGGGGCGGTCCACATGCACCCGACATGCCATAACAACTGCAGGAGAGGTGGTACCGTTTAACAGGCATCGTAGCTGTATGAAATTAATACAATGATATGAAAAATAATGTGTGGCATGATGTGGTACATAAAAAGATATGTTGAAGTGGATATTTATTGTTTATAGTTTTATTTTTTGTTTCTATATTAGTTGTTTATTAACTTATTAGTTATTGTTTTATTATGTATAGTATATTATAACAAATTATAGTATAAATACTTATATTCTATACTCTATTCTATATAATGTAGTATTAATATTATATGCCATGAAAAAAATATATATGTTATAATATATTTATATATAGTATTAGTTATAGTATATATATAATTATATTATTAATAATATAAAATTATATATATATATATATATAATATTATATATATTAGTTATATATTATACTTTACTATACATTGTGTGTGTGTGTG